GAACTTGAAATTTCGCTATGATGAAATAACAAAATTTGTGTCTATAATAATAATAATAATCTTTATTGCATCTTTAAGATAAAGTACACTCGATAACAACAGTATAACAAAATTAAGCTTACAGTTAAGTACTTCTACAATTAATATGAAGCTACTGACATCTAACCTAGGCAGAGCCTGTATCTTAAATATTTTGTGACGAGATTTTCCGTATCTTCGTATGTTAGAGATTTTAACCAAATTGATATTTTAGATTTTAATTCATGTTTGTTAATTTTGTATATATTTAACGACTTATTAATCTTATTGTATAAACGACAACTGATTGAATTATACTGATGTCCTGCAAAAGCTGTTCTACATAGAGGTACTGGGCACATAGGGAAACTTATACGTCGCTTAAGGGTATTAGAGTCTAGAGGAAGTTGAGAATTTTTTCGAAGCATTGTGCGAAGAACAAACAATTGCCTCACTGTTGAACATTACACTCTTTGTAGAGGTCAACAGTAGGGTGCACCCTATGTTTGTTCATCATGACCTTGAGCACTGCTCTTTGTGCCCTCTCGAGGTGTAGCATTGTTGTTTTATGGGTACCACCCCAAAGTGGTATGCAGTACATTAAAATGGATTGGCATAGGCAGGTGTAAACGATTTTCAAAGTATCCACATTTGCAGAGTGGCGAATATTCTTAATGCCGTTCACCAAGCGGTGCGCACTTTAGATCGTACAATACCTACCTTACGTCCGCTCCAGAGGACCACTAATTAGATCAGAATTATGTAAAATTGTGTACCTATGAAAAAACTATTTTTTCGTTTTAAACAAAACCAAAGACACTATGCAATAGATAATAGTATCAAAGACAAAGATATGCTCTTTTATTTTAAACCATAACCTGGCAATGTTTCTTAGGAAAAAAAAAGAAATCACTCTGAACTTTCGGCGTTCCACGTGTCGCTTTGATGAAGGTGCTCCGTCTTTTTTATAGAATTTTATATTTGTGTCTGGACTAAAAACGAAAGTATTATACTTTTTTATATTCCTTGTAATATAGTAAACACGTAGATATATAATTTGTGGTAGAAAAAGTGAAAAGTAAATTGCCAAAAGTACTTCAAAATCCGGAAGGCCCATTTTGGCGGTTGGGCCATAAATGTGTTATTTTTCAAATTCTCATTTATTTTTAGTGTAAAATGTAAGGAAAAATAGTTTTCTTACATATTTTAAATAACTTGTATTGTATTTATTTCAAATTCACACAAAACTATTTTTGAAATATTGTTCGAAATGTCATACAGATAAAATAATAATATTTTTTTTTAATTTTTTAATATTTTAATATTTTGGTATGAGTAACGAATAGAAACACATAAAACATAAAAATATACATATTTCCAAACATTTTCATATAAATTTCTCCAAAAACAAAAGTGTGGAATTCAAATTAGTAGTAATTTTGTCACTAAAATTGAAGTATATACTACTACTATGCTATACAGGGTATTTTATGTATTTTATTACAATTTCTAGCAACTAAAAATAATTTTTCGTTATACATTCAACAAGAAATCCTGTAAGTTTTATCCATAAATATTGTCTCAAAGTGAAAATATAGCAAAATTTGCAATATAGCAAAAAATTTTCTAACTTACAAATTTTCCCGCCATTAAGGTCCCGAGCGAACGGGAGTATAACAGGTCGCGCGCTGTCAGAGCGTAAATTAACCTTCTGATCCTATTGCAAAGCGCGTTAACATATTCATACCAACTAAGTTTTTCGTCAATATAGATCCCTAGATATTTAGTTTGGTGCTTGGCAGAGAGTGAGACACAATTGCAATCTGCGTCTTGCAATGAACACTGGTGGGCCTTGATAGAATTTACATTTTCAGAAATTGGAGCAGTCTTAGATAGATCAAAGCGTATAAGTTGTGTCTATGCGATATTGAGGGTCAGTAAATTTGATGATAACCAAAGCGTAACTTCAACTAGAGCCTTTTCTGCATAATGTTTGGCACGAATCCAGTCTTCACCCCAAACTACTAAGGACGTGTCGTCAGCATAGGTGAAGATCCGACAATTATCTAGCTTAATTCTACACAGATCATTGATGTAGATTAAAAAGAACGTGGGGCCCAGAATGCTGCCCTGGGGCACGTCAAACTTTATATGCTCCTCGTCGCTGTAGTTATCATCAATTTTTGCGCATTGGGTCCTTCCAGTGAGATAATCTCTGAAAATACTAAGGGGCAAACCGCGAATGCCGATACATTCCAATTTAGAAATCAGTATGGGGATAGACACGGTATCGAACGCTTTAGAGAGGTCAAAGAAAGTGCCATAGCATTTTTGTTTCTCATCTAGCTTAGCAGTTATTGTCTGGGAAAGTTTAATTACAGCGTCTTCGGTAGAAACACCAGGTCTAAAACCGAACTGGTTCTCGGCAATGATGTTGAATCTCTTAAGAAAATCGGTCAAAGTATTATTAAAGAATGTGTTCAAAATTGTTTGATAGAGAACTGAGCACCGATATTTGTATATAGTTGGTAACTTGGTGGCTATCCCCACATTTAAATATAGGATGTACTACAGCTTTCTTCATCAGGTCAGGGAATACCCCAGTTGAAATTGAGGTATTACAAATATACGTTATAGGTGAGGTTAACGCATTGCATGATAATTTAATAACGTCAGATTGTATTCCGTCCCATTCAACTGCGCAATTATTCCTCAGAGAGTTAATGATATTTTCTACTTGTGGCTCATCAACAGGTACTGTTGGTGTGATAGTACAATTGTGCTATTGTTAGATGAAGGTGACATGGAAGGAGAACCATCTAAGGGCAATGATATTTTAGAGGCTAACTTTTTGCCGACTTGAACGAAATGGGAATTTATAGTATTTAACGTCGCCTTAGCGCTACCGTGACAACTTAAAAGATCTTTAGCAGACTCTTTAATCTTTTTTGTGTTCGTAATATTTTTAATGACGTTGCATGTTTCTTTGATATTGTTTTTTGCCTTAAGGAATTCACATCTTTCATATTCTGACCTAACTTTTCTCAATACAGTTTGTAGAAAGTTACGATATCTTTTATATGTAATTTGTATGGTGATATTGTCCTGCAACTTCAGCAGCTTCTAGCCTTATGTGTAAAGAATCACGATTTCGGATACATCGGATGAGACCAGGTGTCACCCAGGGTTTGACTGTACGAAATTTTCTTGAAATAATTTTAGCTAAAGAATTTTTCTTTATAACACTGCCCACGATATCTATAAATATATTAGTTGCAATATTAGGATCTGATTCTTTCAAAACGACTTCAAAGTCGTAATTATCTAATTCGCGTTTGATTTCCACAAAGTTTAAATATTTTTTGGTTTTCGCGGCATGATGTATCCATTTATGCTTTTTATATAGTAACAGAAGAGTAGGTACATGGTCAGTTATTGCAGTTTCAAGAATTATAACACATGCATCCAGCTTGGTTTTCAGCAAAATATGATCAAGACAGTTTTCTAAACGAGTCGGCTTATTAAGAGCTGGTAAAAAACCTAGCATGGCTAGAGAATTTAGGTATTCATGGGAGCGATTTTCATGATTATCATCCTTAACGTCAATGTTAATATCTCTTATTAAAACTATATTTTTATAGGAGCTCATCGTGGATATCAAGTTTTCCAGGCTGTTCAAAAAGATGTCGATGTCTGCGTATGATGGAGAACGGTAAATACATATAACAGCCGTGTCATTGGTGTAACACACAAGGCAATTTGCTTCACTAAGGATTGGCTCGTAAATTTTACAGTTAAGATCTAGCCTTGCATAAACAACGACTCCATCATTTTGTATAGGATTATTACGGGTAGCCAAAGACGCGAAACCATCAAGATGAGGAGTTGTTACAGCAGATTTAAGCCAACACTCGGTAAAGACCAAGATATCCATGTTCACCTGAGTCAAGCTCATCATAGTGATAAATTTATGAAAATTTTTGTTAATACTACGAATGTTTTGATGAATTATTTTTAGCGCAATATTTGGTTTAGATACAAAATCAAGACATTTATCTGGCGGGCAGTTATAAACATTCGATACTGTAAGTGAATCAATTTCAATAGAGATATCATTTAAGTTAGCGCCTTTTATTATTTTTAATAATAAGATGTCGCACTTGAATTGATCGGAAAATAAAAAATTTCGTTGATAAGTTTTTATACGTATCACTAAGAGCATAAGGAACGATCCTGCTGTATAAATAATTCGTTATATTACTTTTGCTCATTTTGGTAATTCTACACTCTAGGAGATAAAGCAAGACACTATTGTAAAGTTGTGAATAACAATATATTATGTTAAAGTATATCATAGTTATGCTTGCAATTAATATAGATAATATCATGGTATGTAAAAATGTGGAAAGCTGTACGTATTTTATAAGATATTTGAAATATTTGTAAATAGTTTGTATGTATATCATTTTAGTTAGCTTGTAAGTAATTAAATTGTATGTGTATGTAATTGAGTGTGTGTTGTATAGATAATAAGTTGAAGTGCAAGCAACAAAAATATGTATATACATGTTATAAAATATCGTAAATTGTAATAAGTAAAAATTAATCTCATGTTTATATTAAAATATAAGGAATAAGCTTTTAAGAATGCCGATTTAAATAAAGCTAGTCATTTATCTTTTAAATTTAGAAGTTGTTCTTCGTTATCAATACGTATATGTGGCATACCTTCGGTTTTTCTGATGTATATTCTTCCATTAGACGTCCAACAGAAGGAGTATTTATGCGTTTTGGTGAATTCTCTAGCTAAAAAGAAAAGCTTCTTGGTTTTTGCTGTCAGGCCTTCAGAGATAAATACCGGCGTGGATGTATTGTTTATTTTAAATGCGTTGTGTTGAGTGTATTTCCAGGATTGTCCTTATTGAATTTTTTTACAGATTTTATAAAATTTTCCTTCACGAGTATACCACTAAAGTGTACCATTACAGGTTTTTGGTTAGTGGTTTTAGTGTTTGTTTATTGTTTTTGTTGTTGCTTGTTGATTCTATAGACATCACCGATGTCTTTTTTTCAATGGGTAGATTTATTAAATTTCCTGCCTCTTGTACGATTTTCAGTAGGTCATTTTTTGTCTCTTTCTGGTTAAGCGGTATGTTACATATTTCAACTGTTGTTGCCTTTGAGTTACGCTCTAAAATGTCAATTTTAGATTCCAGTGAGTTAATATACTCTAGTTGGTGCTTATTTTCATTTTCTAAAGAACCGAATTTTTGAGTAAGTTCATCATACTTTTGGGCTAAGAAATCATTGGATTTTTGAATATCTGTATTTTGTTCCTTGATCTCTTTCATCGTGGATAACAGAGTACAATAACTATTATCTTGTTCGGTTTTCCAAGAAAGGAACATATGTGTAAGATCATTTTTAAGGTTAATTAATTCTTCGCTAGAATCTTCTCTTTTGCGTTTAGTACTGCGCATTTCAATGCTTATTTGGCTTGGCTCGTCTTCTTGTACCTGAGCGATAGCCATATTTGGCTCCGATTCACTATGTTGGAGATGACTTGTACACGTTACTTTAGATGCGTGTGGTGGAGTACGTTTTAGCGGCATTATAGCTTAGCGCTCGCTTGTATCAAGATAACAGAAACATACAGAATGTGTTTATTAACAACTACTTGTTGATGATACATACTGTCACAGGTTAGAACACGCACTCAGATACGCTCTCTATTACCAGAGTAGCAGGGAAATACAGGAGGTACGCAACTTGCAGATATCGCAGGAGATGGATGACATATGTGCCCTGTTTCGCACGTTGTTTCTAGGCGACCAACAAAACACGTGAGATATGTCGCTTGTTGAAGGCGATGTCACATAATCACTCTTTTACATTCTTTATGCAGCTGCTGGTACTAGGAAATAAGAGATATATCCCGCTGAAAACGGCGCCACGCGCAAATAAAATGTATATTGATAATTTCCAGGAAGTACTAGGGCAACAGAATAACCGGAGAAGTAGAATGCTAATGACGCCGTCGAACGATAAGAACTCTCACTTGCCTTTATGTGCCCGTTAGTCGTATCAGGGCAATCGAAGATGCAGAAGGTGTTGTTGTTTATTCTCAGTCGCTCGGTGATTTGCTGTAGTGGTGACACGCCCCTGCCGGCTGAGACTCGTAGATGTTGACTTACAAAAGTTTTAATTATCGGGTGGCAAGCACTTCTTGTTCATGCACTCCTATTTTTATTAATTGATTTTTCTTTAAGATTACTAATTATTACATATTGTTTTTTAAAACACAAAATATAATTGACACGTCTGACCTCCTCAGATGCCCAGGGGGGAGGACAATGTCTATTTCTGTTTTGAATAAAAATATAACACCCGTAACATTATCACCCAAATTAAGTTTACAACTAGGTTATGAACCAAATAAAAATCTTCTAGAGAGAAATTTTGGAAAGTGTCCTGCTAATTTACACTTAGGGTTACCATCTCAACTATTTCTATATTGCGACATTATCGATCCTCAGATTGTGGGTGATGTTATGACTCCTTTCCTAAGAATCATTTCATTAGATCCTACAAAATACATTTATTGTGCAAATAAAATGCACGTTTTCTCTCAACCTCACTACTTACCTGTTATGCGAAGAGAGTTCAATACGCTGGAAATAGCTATAAGATCGAGCACAGGACAAAAAATACCATTCCAGAAATACCATACCATTGGAACCGTGTGTATTAAACTACATTTCCGAAAATTATAATAATGAAAGTTCTTCGTGATCATCATAAATGTCCTTATGAAAATTATTATACACATCAAGCTGGGTCAGGAGTTGGAGTAATTTATAAGGGTTCATCATACCAACGCGTTCATGGTATTGGGAGCTTCTTAGGGGGGTTATTTAGATCAGTTTTACCTTTACTTTCTAAGTGGTGCTTGAGTGATTGGTAAGGAGGCATTAAGCGCTGGAGTAGGACTTTTATCGGATATGGTTCAAGCGCGTCCTATGGAAGCCTCAATAAAAGATCATCTAAAGCAAGTTAGTACGAATTTAAAACGAAAGGCTGATGAGAAAATTGATCAATTTAACATGACAGGATCTGGGTATAAAATTAAAGAAAACGGTTGGCCTCCTTCTTTCCACCATTAACTACTAAAGTGCAAGCTGCAAAGAAACTTGGTCTCAAACCAAAAAATATCAAAGATATATTTTCAAATTAAATATGTCTTTCCTTCATAATCATTCTTGCGAGTGCGTTAAGTCAGATTTGGATTTGTTTGCACTACCGCCTACACAAACTAGCATTGAAAATGGATTGTGGATTCATTATAAACCAATTTCATCTCTTGGTGATGATGGACCTATCGAGTTTCAAGTTCCTGGGACAGGCGATGACTACGTATATTTGTCTCATACATTACTCCACATAAAGGCAAAAGTATTAAATCAAGATTCAACTAACTTGATATCTACTATAATAGTAGCACCTGTAAATAATTGGCTGCATTCACTTTTCTTAGTCAACTTGATGTTTAATTAAACCAAAAAATTGTATCACCACCTAATAATACCTATGCATATTCGAGCATACATGGAAACCCTTTTAAGCTATGCTCCCGCCGCTAAACAATCTCATCTTACTTGTAGTCTTTGGTATGATGATACAGCAGGAAAAATGGATTTTACGGATGGAAAAAACATAGGATTTGTAAAAGACTGGAATTGATTAGTGAAAGTAAAGAAATTGAAATGATTGTTCATCTTCACGGTGACATTTTCAACCAAGATAAATTTTTACTGAATGGTTTTGAAATGAGTTTTAAATTGGTTTGATCAAGAGAGAGTTTTAATTTAATTCGCACGATGTAAAGTTTAAAGTTTGCATTACGGACGCAACTCTTATTGTTCGACGAGCACGAATTAATCCAAGTGTATTACTCGCACATCAAAAAGTTTTAGCTTCTACCACTACTAAATATCCTATTACTCGAGCTGAAGTAAAAGTTTTAACAATTCCATCGGGTATTCAAGGAAAAACTCTTGGTAATATATTTTTAGGACAGGTACCCAAAAGATGTATAATTGGATTTGTGAACAATTCTGCATTTAATGGTTCCCTTACTAAAAATCCATTTAACTTTGAAAACTATGGTATTAATTCCTTCAGCTTATATATTGATGGTCAACAAATACCTTCAAAAGCTTTGCAACCATCTTTTAATAATAGTATACTTACATCAGCATATCATACTCTATTCTCGAGAACTGGTATTCACTTTCTTATTGAAGGAAATGGCATCGCTTGTGAACAGTATGCCAAAGGTTACTGTCTGTTAGCATTTGACTTAACTCCTGATTTATCAGCCAACTCATCAGCTTATTGGAATCTCATAAAGCATGGTAGTGTAAGATTAGAAGTACGATTTGAATCCTCACTACTACAAACAATTAACTGTATAGTTTATGCTGAGTTTGATAATATTATTGCGATAGATAAAAACAGAAATGTTACTGTAGACTATAGTAGTTAAGGTTATAATATGTGTTGTGTGTTAGATTTTATGTGTTATGTGTAATGCATTTTGTGTGTACGTAACTATGTGAAACGTCATAAAATTAAATAAAAACAAATTGTATGCAATATATTATTTTTTATTTCTTTATAAATCTTCTATTTACATATATATATATATATATATATATATATATATATATATATATATGTATATATATATATATATATATATATATATATATATATATATATATATATATATACAAAACATTATTCCGGTTTAAAGTTACATCGGACTCTCTCATTAGATCATCAATAATAACGAGATGTGGGTTTTCACCATCAAATATATTAAGATTTGGAATTCCTTGATGATAGTTAACATTTGGTAAATTACATAAAGGTTGCATTTCATCAAAGCACCGTGTGATCTGATTAAAATCACAATTACATATTTCTGTAACTGATTTTATGAAATTTGTTACAAAATTTGACTTCCCACATCCACTTGGTCCTGCCACAATAGCAGTAAATGGATGTATAAAGTGAAACATTACACACGTCTTTCTAAGGGGTGAAATAAAAAATGAAAGTGTTGGTGTAAACAATTAATATATATTGTGTACTATAACTAATGTTTTTGGGAAATCAAACAAAATTTATGATTAATTTAAAATTTTATTTTCAAGCAATAACCACTTGTAAAAAAACCCACACTTCGTCACAAGAACAATGTAAAATTTTGTGATTATTTTTTGCAAATATATGATTATTACACACATAACGTTTATTTAAATTTATGACATTTACCAAATCATTGTATTTTGGACATTTGTATTCTTCAATATTAAAAATTCTATCATTCGTCGTCAACATTTTTAAAAATTGTTTTTCTGTTGAACCACCTTTGTATGCGATCACTTCGTCTTTGCACAAATTTCTAATATACCAATTTAATATGGAGATGATGTTCTCTTGTTTGTAGGCACATTTTAATTCTTCGGTCACATCAAAATATGGAATGCCGTGCACGTGTGTTTCACAATAACGAACAGTTTTTTTGTCTTTTGGCGACAAATAATTGAAAGGATAACTTGGCCGAAACAAATAATGATCGATAAACGCATCATTTTTATTAGATAGTTTTACGTCTAGAATAGCCATTTCACTACATTGAAAATGTTTATGAGGATATGTGATGTAATATCCGTCCATGTCGATGATATATCTAATATTTTTTAGATTTTGTGTCATTTTGAACCAAAATATTAAAACATGTTTGTTCCAACAAACTTCACATAACAATGCTTCATTACTTCCCATCATCCCATTTCTTCCTTCTGCTCTTGTCTTCCTGTAATTTAAGTAAGCAGAATCACGTTCACTAATAATCAACTAATGACTGTCATTGTTAAAAAGTATTTTTAACTACTCTAGTATTCGTAGATGCGGTACACACACAATATTTAAATATAATTTGTTAACACTAAATCATACACACGTAAGAAAATGACAGAAAGAAAAGTAAGTTTGTCAATAGAATAAATACTTAAAATTGCAATTAATAATTTAATTGGTGCCGGCGGGGATCGAAACCGGGTCGCGTACTGTGAAATTTACAGCTTGCGCTAACCATCTGAGCTACCACGGTTTAATCATATACATACACAATATTTAAATATAATTTATCACTAAATCATACACACGTAAGAAAATAACAGAAAGAAAAGTAAGTTTGTCAATAGATTAAACACTTACATCCATGGTCTTTGATGCGTTGAAGTAACACAAATGTATTATTGATAGATCCACTGCGGTCAAACGACCATACACTAACTCCATGACTGCAGTTGCTTGGTCTTATATTACAGTACCAGTAAGTAATAATTCTAATCTAAATAATTTCTAAAGTGGAATAGTAACTTTATGCGTCAACAAGCTTATCTCACATTCTGTTACTTATCTGAGCATTACTTCGTGTTGCGTCTTGTTCAGTGTATTG